TATTTTTTCAAATAAATAGTGTAACCAAATTATTTCACTACAGAAAAATATGGAACTTATATTAGGATCAGGTTAAATTTGTAAGTTTACATATAACAATTCAATTCTTTTTAGCATTCGGTCTTTGTATTCAAAAATATATTTATAATTTAATTTGTATTTTTTAGAAGTTATAATTTTCCTCCTAAAGAGATTAAGCACTTTTTGTTATTTTTTTTTATTTGATTCGTTTCTATTGTCAGTGGAATCTTCTCTCTCCTTCATCTGATTATTGTTCATAAATGTGATGAGTACTAATAATTTTGCATACTTCTATCTTACAATTTCACTGAATTATTTTTATCATTTCTAACAGTGTTTTATTGAGTTTTTCAGAAGTATAGTATACAATAAAATGATTTTACTTCATTCTTTCAAATTCTCATGGTTCCAGTTGTTATCTTGTTTAATTGTATAAAGTAATTTCTACTATACAGCATTGAGTGTTTATGGAGATATAATCAGTTTTGTTCTTGGATTTTGTGGCAAAGTATTGAGCAGCTCCATTGGGGAGAATTTGGCTTTGGGGTGAAATATTTTAAGGAACTGTCCACTAAGGACTGGGTGCTTTTATATAAGTAGATGTTGAATTTTGTTAACTGCCTTTTTGCCACTGAAGAAAAGGTTCATATGTTTTCTCCACAGCTCCACTAATATGAGTTATATTGATGAACTTCTTAATAGTGAATCATCTTTGTATTTCAAAACTAAATCACCTATGTTATGATGTATTATTTTAAGTTTTGATGAATTCTATATTCAGCATATTAAAATAATGTTTTCCTGTTTTGGAATAGTTTAAACAGCTTAAAGTGCATCTGGAGTATGCAGGGTTTGAAGGTTTGCTAAATTGCAGCATGAAGCAATCTGTGGGGAGCTTCTTTACACCTTTCTTTCTTCTTTTACATTTGCTCTGGTTAAACTGTGTCCATTGGGGTCGATTTTGGTGAATGAAATCTTCCCAGAAAACTATTTATTTCTTCTTAATTTTTCAGATTAACTTATATGGAGCTGTGCCTAAATCTGTTTTGGTGTACGCTTTTTTGGATAGGTGTCTTAGTTTTCATTTCTTTTTGTGTATGCAATTTTAATATGCATTTTCTCACATTTAATTGATTTAATTTACCTGGCTTTTAAAGGACCAGACATATTTTTTCATAAACTGGGATTTTGTTTTTCTAACTCATTAATAATTGTTTTTGCCTATAATAGATTTGTTCTAATTTCTTTTAATTTGAAGTAATACGTCTTAATCCCAGATAATACCTGTAACCAAGCATTCTATTTCTATTAGACTCTTCTTCTATTTTTGTAGTTATAACTTATTTATCTTATCAGGGCATATATTAGGCAAGATCAGGCATGTTCAGGGAGGTATGGCTGTAGACATCAGGGCATATATTATGTATATATTATTATACCACTTTTCTATCCACCATCAGCTCCATAATTAAATATTTTAATGTTCTTTTGGTGAGCCTTCCTCAGTATTTCTCAATTGTGGGAAACTCATTCTTTAGTTGATTCTTTAGGAATATTCCTTCGGGGGGGATCTTACATATTACTACACACACATACACACAGTCTTGCTAGATATAGAACTTTATATTATCCTTGAGTATCTTGAATATCCCCACCACTGTCCCCTGTCCTAAAATACTGCGGTTGAGATGTAAACTAGTCTTTTAGCCTTCACCTTGTAGGTTAGCTTTTTTATCTGGAAGTTCACAAGAGAATACTTTTTTTCTTTACAGATCAAATGATTTTTAGAATAAATCTTGCTATTAACTGCTCTGGGTTGATTTTTGTATAGAGCATCCTTCAAATATGTGGATTCAAATTTTGTTTTATGCCTGGAAAATTTATGGAATTATGGTTTTTATGTTTGTTCTATTTCATTTCCTCTGCTTTCTTCAAGGATCCATGTATACATGTATTGGATCATTTTTCCCAACATGCTAAATCTATGGTCTCTCAATACTTTTGATCATATTTTCAATTCCATTTGTTTTCATTTTTGGTTCCCTTTTCATATTTCCCTTACTCTTTTATCATTGGTGTCCATTAATTTTTCTTTATTCCAGTTTAGTTTGCTGAATTTTTCTTCTATTTTTAGTTTTTTGAGTTATATCTTCTTTTAATATCTTCTACTGGGTAGTTTTTTATCTCTAAACTTTTCTGACTACTGAACCTTTGTAGTTATATGATTTTCTTAAACTACTTTTGAAATACTAAGTTAAAACTTTTATTTACGCTCACTGTCCATCAGTACATCATTCAGGACTTATCTCTTTGGTTAAAACATATTGTAATTATTATGTTGCTTCCATTTTATCGAGATTGTCTTCCTATATGTTAAGATGTTACAGTGTAGTGGTAGTGACAGACTAGAAAAACATTCCTGGATTCATGGCTCTAGGACCCATATTCTCATATTTCTCCAAAATATTTACAACTACAACCTGTTTGAATTTTTTCTTTGCTTTCTTCTCCAAAATGTATCTGAGAATTTTTTTTTCCCTTTGCTGTGTATATGAACTCAAATTCAGCCTTCACTGCATTTTACTTACTGGGGTTTTGGTTGATTATGTCTGGAACACTAGGTCCTTGGACACCCAGCACATTCTAATTTCCTTCAGTCATTGTTTTCATGTACAAAGTGGATGCTCTGTGGCTTCTGCCCACTTTGATGGTCAATCCCAGTTCTGCCTGGAAAGTTTACATGCAAAGGATAGATCCTTCCTTTGGGAGGTGAAGAGCTGCTGATGCTTGGTTTTGGGGCTCAAAAAAGTTGAACATTTGAACAATTTTTCATGTGAACATTCTAGGTGAATCCACTGAACAATTACCTTCCCCATACTGATACAGCTTCTCCTAACCATGGGGAAGTTATACTTTATTACGGGACCTAAAATTAAATCAATGTGAATGTCACGCTGCTGTCTCAAATAATATTTTTGAAAGTCATGTATAGCTTTTGTCTATTGTATCTAAAATTCAAAAAACATATATTCATATTATGAGGAAGGGGCAGAGGAAGAGAAGACAAACAATATCTAGAAGGAAATTTTGGTCCTCTGGCCTTTTATAAGATAGGTTATAATATTCCAGTAAGATATTTGCATTTGCTTTCTGCCCTGTGAGTGGCTAAAATCACAGAACTATGTCAGAATCCTCACTTAATAGGCTGTAGCACAGCACCCTTCATGCCCATTCACACATGTGCTCATTCATTCTAAAAACCATCTGTACTTCATAACACAAGACCAGGCCTTTGCCCCGAGGGTTGACTATCTAACAAAATTCATTTATTTAGTTTTCTAACCAAAATAATGCTTTCTCATTCAAGAGATGTACATCTGCATCTGCTCTTTATTTGGCATGCCTCCCCTCTCTATTACTCACTTCACAGTTTTGGTTTAACAAATGCATTGGGTGAAATGAATAAAGCTATGTTGACTAAAACAGTAGGAAGTGCTAATTGTCATCAAATAACCAAGTGCTGAGTTTATAACGAAGAGAAAGGTATAGTTTGATACTGTAGACATTTGGGACTGGATCTTTCTAAAATTGCCATAATTATGTTTCTAATAGACACACTTCTTTCATCTACATGAAATCAAAAGAATTTATGTCATTAGAGGTCAAGTAAAATTGACTGAGAACAAACTATTGACTATGCCCTGTGTTATATCGTGCTTTAAAAGTCATGTAAAACATGGTATTTGAAAATAAGATCAAAACCATCAAGCGATTAATCCTTAAAAGCAAAGGATTCGCAGCCAGGAAAAAGATCCTAAGATCCTAAAAGATCCATATTTTGTCCCAATGGACTCTGACCTTTTTTAAAAAAATTCTATGCCCAAAGTCAACTACTTAAAACTGGCATTCTCAAAGGCAAACTTGGGTGGAGTGGAAAACAGTACATACACCCATTCCTACTTGTTCTGAAATTCACTCCCTTAAAAAAACAAAGACAAACTAAATGCAAATTTTTATGGTCAATGTACTTGATGAATCTAAATTGTCAGACAATGGAAGAGGAGGAACAGAAAGGAGGGAGGAGAGGGAGATTCTTTAAAAGGGTGAACTCCTGGTGAGAGGCTGTTCCCCTGTAATCTTCACTCATTAAGGATTACTTTTTGTTAAGTCCCTCTGCCTTCATCCACTTCCCTGTTGCATCCTAAAATACTCCCTTTCAGAGTGAATTCTCTTTCTCTTCCCTCTGTCATTCTTTGCTTCCTTCCTTCTCTCTCTGCATCTCTCCAATGAGCTGAGACTTCCACTAGAACACCTGATGCGGGTCTAAGCAAACTTCTGCAGTTCCACAGATCTGGATTCCGTCCTGCACAGAATGATCTTCCCTTCTCGCCCTCCTAGCAATGGCACTCAAGTAAAACACTCTGAAAATAAACACAATGGGCTTATCTATAATATCATGTGAAAACTCAAGGGCTACGGTCACTCCATGTATTTCATTACTTTGAAGTGGATCATTATCTTAGATCATTAGTTTTATCTTGCTTTTTAAAATTTGATGTATGTGTAAAATGGCAAAAGTAAACAAAAATGACAAAGTGTATGATTGTATAGGAATAACTTTAAAATTAATAATTTTCACTCATAACATTTCTAAACAGCACAGCTAGGAGAGAGCTGTGGATAAAGACGGTGAAGACAGAAGAGCAAAATCCCTGTCTCCACTGGACACCTACCACAGACTAAAAGTGTACACTCGAGGCTGCCAGGAGTGTATAACACATTTCAGTCTTTTTAAAAACTCAGAAATGATCAAATCCCTAAAGGTGCAGCTTTTCCCCCTTTATTTGTCCAGGAATCTGTTTTGGAAGCCAATCCAATGATTACTACTAGGACATGGAATTTTGATATTCATTTGGTACTGATTTACAACAGTATTTTTAAGGCTGCCAACAAAAGTCCAGAATTTCAGGCAGCCAAAATTCCACAAGAGACAACTGTCTTTTATTTTATAGCTTATGAATTTGAGGCTTAATGTGATTTTCCACCAACAAGTTCTGTACCCCTCCAGGGTGCTAAAGCCAGTGTAGAGATCAGCAAAGTAACACAGAACATACAAGGCAAGTTAACATTAAACTTAAAGGAAAACTGTACAAATTATGTTGTTTACTTAGGAAAAAAGCACTCTAGTTGAAAGGGCTGACATATGATTTATTATAAACACTTGACCAGCATGCTCACATTTTTACCAAGCCCACTGTGGCAGTTTGGTGAGGTTGTGGTGCTGGATCTGGTGTCAGTAAAGCCATCCACTAAATGACTGCTAAATATTGGTGAGGAGTTCTAAACACGTACTTCATGTCTTCTCTTTTTATGAAATGGCTAACAAAAATACAAAATTATGTTCAGTAATAATTCACAGGCAAGTAATTTAGGAAAGTGATAGATGGATAATTTTTCTAAAGCATAAGTAAATGAAGAACCCGTTTAATTAGAAACATAATTATAACTGGTTTCTGGAAACAATTCTCTTGCAAAATAAAACTTTCACACAAAATTAGAAAAAATAGTATAGAATTTCTTTCTCTGCTCAAAGCAATCTTTCAAAAACAGTCAGAGATAATAAATATTGGGATACTGAAGTAATTAGATGTGTGTATGTGGGGTTTTTCACGAAAGTCATGAAATATTCTTCCCCAAATATCACGAACAGGAATTATAGATAAGTCTTGTAATATTTAAATGTTCTACGTCTAAATTACTTTTCATATGATTCTAGGCTTGTCCCCAAACCTTCATGTTTCATACATTTATTAATATAGTTTTATACAGAGTCCTCAGTTTGAGTCAAGGAGGATATACAACAACAGATCATATTGGAAGCCATAGAATTATTTATCTACAAGACTAAGTACAAAACACTGCACCTGCAGTGTTTTTCAGTAAAGGGAAATTACCTCACAGAATTTCACTGCTGAGGCACATGGGGGAAAAATTATTGAGGAACTATTCCTATAGCAGAAGCCCAACCTCGCTAGTCAGAAAATCATACGAGACACCCTTGGGATTTCACATCAGATTTCTTAAGCTGTTATTCTAAAACCTGGCCATTGTGCCACCAGGGCAGATGACCTCTGGACTGTGCTCTCCAGAAAGCCAAAAGCATCTCCGATGCCCTGTCAGGATGCTCAGAGATGGACAGAGCATCACACGAGAGCTCCGAACCACACCTCTGGATTTCTGAACAGGAACTGTACAAAACAGCGGTTTTTACCGTTGTCAAATGCTCATCCAGTTACAGTGAAAGCTAAACATGAATATGAGCAAAGGGAACAAGGACTGCCATTCTAAGGTTTATAGTAGCAACATTTATATAAAAAATCTTCACTTAAAAATATACTGTTAAACTGTTCTATGAAATTTATAATTAGCTAATAACATAATGTTATCTATACAAACCTTTAGAATGGACACTGAATGGATAAATTATTCCATACACAGATTTACTATACCTAAAAAAATAAAATGAAGAAAGTTCTATAAATTAGTCTTTGAAGTTTCATGTCTGTACCTGTTCCCTGTTACAAGACAGAGCATTGAAAAAAATCATTCTATTTGCAGGAAAAGGACAAGATACTGTGTCACAGTGGTAACTAAGCACATAAGCATCCGTTCTAGCCATGATCCTGGTCCTCTATCAAGAACATGCATTTCTGGTTCATTTAATCAGGAATGATTCTCTTATTTGTTTCACAGAATAATGACAAATTTTACTCTTATTTTCTCCTTGAATTTCCAAAAGACACCACTTTAAAATTCAAATTATTCCTAAATTCCCCAAGGCAGTATGTGGAGAAAGTGGAGATGCATCTCCAAATATCAGACCCATGGACTGTTGCTTTGTCTTAAAACAGATGTTATCTGCCCAGATTTCCTCTCTGTTACTTTCTGTCCTAAACTCGTTCACTATTCTGCCATCATTTTTTTTTGTTGCTGTTGTTTTCGATACAGTGGTGTAATCAGCAGTAATATGACCAGAGTGCACTATGCTTTATTTCCATTTTTTCCATATAAACATTTTGGCAGTCACTAAAGTTCCTGGCATCCTTTGGAAATCTAATCATACAGAAAACCAGGTATGACAGAATATACATTAACTGATATACACACATGTGAGTCCTGAGAGCAAAACATAAAGGTCAGAAGAAGAAATAGCTGCTCATTAAGGCTGGAAGAAATCTGAGAAACTCAAATGAGGAGGTTTGAAAAACCCCACCTTTTAGATATGAGTTAACCAGTGCGGAGGAGCTTGTTTGAGAATGTTTTGCTTAGCCTTTGGAGACAGACGGTGGTGGGATCGTTGGTGCCACAATCACTTTATATTTCAATGTCATCTTCCGCTTTCAGTGCACAGTGCGGGTCACTCCCGCGTGTCCCTAAGAGTTCTCCACTTGACAACAGTGGCGACCTGGCTGGAGTCTGCACAGTGAGCAGGGAAAGGGCTGGGGAAAAGCTGGGTGTCATGGCTTCTGCTGGACAGCCTTGGGGGTAGAGCAGAGGAGAGCGGGGGTATTTCTGAAGTAGCTGCCCTGGGGCTGTGGCCTGCATTCTCGGTGGAACTGCTTTAATCCCAGGCTGCGCTACTGCTGTTATCAAAGGTGGTGGAAAAACCAAAGACTGCCTCTCTTTGGGAATGCCAGGCTTAGGCAAATGTTCATCCTTCAGTTTTGCAATATCATTAAAGACCAAGGCAAGGGGTTGGAACTTGGGTTCCCAGCTCAGGAGATAATCCCAGGCATAGCTTCCTCTTACTTCGTGACTGCAGGTGAGCTCAGTTGGAAAGGCTGCACCGCTTGCTTCCTGGTCTCCTGAAACACGGACAGACTCAACTTTCTCGGGGTCAGCCAGGACACCTTCCTTTGCCCCTTTCTTCTGCAGGGCCTGGGGTGGAGCGTCATTTGGAACACAGGCTGGGTCGCAGCCTTCCCCTCCGTCTCCTCCCTCAACTGCGTGGCCACCGTCTGCCACTTTGGCACTGACCATCACGTCGGTTTCCCCAGACAGGCAGGAGAGCTGGTCTGAGTCCCTGGGGACCCCGGAGTCCGGCACATGGGAGGCCCGGTCGCCCAGCGCCGAGTCCGAGTCCTTTCTGTAAAGGTTCGCGTTTATCCTCTGGATCTCCCTGTCTTCTGCAGTCTCTCCTTCCACGGAACAGTGACTGCTGGAGCCCGAGAGCCAGTGCTGGCCAGCAGGGTCCTTCTCCGTGATGCTTATGGAGCTCAGCCACTCGGGCGGGGCCTCCTCCCGGCTGTCCCCCTTGTTCTGCAGGGCCGCGCACCCGCCGGGGTCCCCTGTCGGCTTCACACTGACCTCTAAGGGCGGTGATGCTTTCTTCCTTCCATAATTGTGTGGCGCGGCTTTTGGTTTATGTTTTACAACCAGTACAGTCAGACCATAGATGAGTAACAGGACCACCACAAAGGAGACCGTGAGGCTGATGGAGAAGCTGCTGGCAGATGGCACCGCGAGCCTTCCGCCAGAGGACAGAGACGCATTCACAAACACAGTGCAGGATGTGGACCTGGAGCCCGGTTTGGGGCTCTGAGCAATGATTTTCATTTCAAAGGTGTCGTCTTCGCTGACCTGACTTCTTATGAAGGGAGGAGGGGCTTTAAGCCAATAAATATTTCCATTGGTTCTGTTTACTGAAAAGAAAGGAGAAGGAGTTGCCAGGGAGTAAAAAATGACCCCATCAGCGCCCGCGTCTGCATCAGAGGCTTCCACTCTGCCGATCAGCTGTCTTTCTTGAGTCTTTTCGGGGAGGCTGAAGAAATATTGATCTTGAGTGAAGACGGGCTCAAACTCGTCTGTCCCTTCGATGTACACCCAGGCCGTTGAGGAAGCTGTGGAGCCGCCCTTGTCTCTGGCCTGCACGACGAGGCAGTACTTATCGGCGCTTTCGTAGTCAAGGCTTTGCTTAGCACGAATGTCCCCTGTTAAAGGGTCAATGCTGAAGAGATCCTGAGGGGAAGGCCTCTCATGAGCGGCCAAACAGGGCGATAAAACAGAATAGGTCAGTTCTCCATAAGGACCTGCATCAAAATCCACGGCGTGGACGGAACAGATGCTGGAGAATGCGGGCAGATTTTCAGGCACTGCACAAGTCAAGCTTGAGGACATAAACTGGGGCTTGTGGTCGTTGTCATCTAAGAGGCTGATAAACACAACTGCAAAAGAAAAATGTTTCTTATCTCCATCTGAAGCTTGGACAGTTAAAGTGAATTTTGTCGTTTCTTCATAATCCAGAGGTTTAATCAAATAAAGGACTCCGGTTCTTTCTTCTAAGTAAAAGTGTTCCTTCTCATTTCCAGAGATAACCTGGTAGAAGATCTCTGCATGCGAACCCATGTCACAGTCACTGGCTGAGACCACGGTGATGCGGCTGCCTGGAGGGGCACTTTCCTTGACATGGGCGTGGTACTGCAGGCTGCTGAATCTGGGTGGGTTGTCATCGACATCAAGCACTTGTATGGACACAATCACCGTGGAGCTCAAAGGAGGGCAGCCGTGGTCGGATGCCAGGATGACCAGCTGATGGCTGGCACTGGCTTCTCGGTCCAGACTGTGAAGTAACACAAGGTCACCAACTTGCTTGTGGGGATATTCTGAATGAACTGAAGTGGTTTCCACATGGAAGTTGTTCTGAGAGTTACCACTGATGATGGAATATTCAGCGTATGTGTTTTCAGGCGTCCAATCCCGGTCAAAGGTTGAAAATGTGGTAAGTGTGCTTCCAACCAGAGCATCTTCATTCAAGGTAAGATTGTAGTATCCTACTGTGAACTCCGGGGCATAATTGTTCTCATCTTGGACTTGTATCTCCACTAATGTAAGAGCCCTCAGCTCAGGGATTCCACCATCACTGGCTTCAACAAGAAATCGAATTGTTCTTATTTTATCCGGAAGGATTGCAGGACTGGTAGTAAATATTGTGCCTGAAAAACAGGACACAGCTTGTCACTGCTGTGAAATCAGAATGTTTATGATCTATTCAGCCAGCAAATGTTTATCGAACATCTAAGTGCATTTAGTTCTTTGTTAGATGTGTTAAGTTACAACGAACAATAAACCTAAACAGAAATTTAAAATCATTACATTTAAAACACTTAAGATTAAGAAATAATATTGATGACACTTCTCTGTGAAGTATGTGTACTTGTACTATCTGTGGTCACCTATGCCATATTTTTTCCCCTGAGCTCTATTTTTTGCATAGTAAGTTGTGCCATTACAATTTTTAAAAAGAAATTATATTGTTTGGAAAATGTATGCCTTATTCAACTTTCCGTGAATGCATGTGTAGGGATATTCTGATGTAAAGATATTTATTTTGGAAATACTGGTTGACAATCACTCTACTCAAGCAAAAGCAGTAAAAACTGTAATGTTGAGTTGAGCTATTTCGTAATTATAGAGACACCTTTCCTAAAGTTTATGGTTGATTCAACAAGTGAGTATTTCTCTTACTGATAAAATACAGTGAAGATATCTTATTGTATTAAATATATAAATAATTATAAATATGCATGTAACAACATTTTTCTAAGACAAATGTGATTTAAATATGGTCTCTGAAAATGAATACTAAATACAGTACTGACATTCAAATGCCACATTTCAGTAAGAGTCATAATATGTAGCAAATTAGCATGGTAACATTTAGTGTTTTCAAACCATTGGGACCCACATCTTGCTGGTAACATGAATCAAACAAAAATACTGCTAAGGGTTGAGTTCTGGGAGGGAGCCCCTTGCCCACTGATTGGTGGTGGCCAGGGAAGTGGTTGGCAGAGTCTGATATTCTCCGAGTGGAGGGCAGAAGAGAGGAAGAGGAAGAGGGAGAGAGGTGTGGGGAGAGGCCCTATTCCTGACACGCTGTCAGGAATTGAGAATTGTCACCCATTGGTCATTCATCCACGGGCCGTGTGGCAACCTTACGAATGTCCTAGTTCTCTTTCAACACCCTGCGGGGCCTCACTGTGATAGTTTCAGACTAAATTACTTCTTTGCATAATCCTAACTGCAATGATTGATCTCATTTTCACTGGCTTGAGAGCCACCCAATAAAGCACGCTTGTGGTGTGTCTGGGTGGGTCGTGCAGGTGCAACTCTGGGGACTCTCTCTGGTCTCCAGCTTCGTCCTCTCTGGCGCTGCTCTCCTGTGCTTGCTTCCTGATCACCATGAGTGGAGCAGTTCTGCTCCTCTGTGCCCTTTGACAGGATGCTCCTGCCTGGGAGTCGGCAGTGCTGGGTCACAACTCTGGAACCAGGAGCCTAGAGTGGCAGGCGTCTGCCGTTCTTTTCCAGCAACAGAAAGCTGACTCTCGCACTCAGGTTGATTTGTCATGCGTGCTCTTGTGGGAATGATACAATGGCGGGTAGAGAAGGGATCACCCAGAGCCTGTTCCTTTTTAGAGTGTGCTGCTTGGACACTGTCTCGTTGATTGTTCATCTTTATCAGCATTAGCTGTTGTTCTATTCTTTTTTTATGTTTTAAATGTTTACTAGTACACGTTTGACAGTACACAATGATTACATTCTTCGTGGGGAGCTGGTGCACGTACACAACAGATCTTCACTCTTCTTACCTCTCCATCCCCTCCCTGACTGCCCCACACCCTTCGCTCCCCTTCCCATTTGGAAAAACGTTAGCTTTTAATGTCCACTCATTGTTACGCCATCTCTGAACTCTGTTTAATTTTTCTAATGTGGAATCACATGCCTGAATTTTTTCACAAACACAAACATCTTGCTCTCTGATTAAAGTACAAACACCCTTGGGAGACATCAAATAAAACAGAACACAATGGTTTTTAGTAGAAATGGATGCTTGCATCATTTGCCTTTTTAAATTATTCTTGTCCTTATCGAATATAGGATGCTACTGCTGAATATTTTTGTATTTGGACTTATTAGAAAAAAGCTTCCCAGTGCTAGTAATGTGAAGTCTTCAGTCCAGAATTAATCCTGCTGATTTCATTCTGATTTTTGTTGATCTCCTGGGAAAATTGCCAGAGCTGTGCTTGGCTAGACACATGCACTCCCTGTGCTGGGGTCTGCAGATCTCTGAATATTTACTGGCAATACCAATACCTTCTGCTTTCTAGCCACTGAGATGCTGGAACAGGGAAATAACACTGGTATTTGTTACTGCAGTGTTTGACATGAAGATAAATGAGAAGGTGGTGCTCATAATTCCACAGGGTAGAGGTAGGGGACTATTTTCAGAGTGTTTGGAAAGGATTATTTCATGTTTTCACCCCATAACTCAAACTTATAAGCATGAAAGCCACTATAAATAACTCACCATTCACGGGATCAATGGAGAAGTCCTCAGAGGAGGAAAGGATTCTATAAGAAATGTTCTCATTGCTGTCTAAGTCTGTGGCTGATACAGTTAATACTGAGTACCCTAGGGGCACTGACTCAGGAACCGTGACCTGGGGGGAAAGAGAAAAAAGGACGTTAGGCTTATAGGCTAAAGATGCTGCTATAGACAGGCCCAAAATGTGAGGTCGCTCTACTGATACCGATTATGGAAACCACACGGTACAACCTGACTCTCTTAGACACACTGATCAATACAGCTGCCCACCTTAGGTTAGGGCTCGGGCGCAGGTTGGTGGGTGAGTGCTTGTCTGGTATGTGCGAGGTTGGGGCCTGGGTCTCCAGCATCTCGAAAACTTATATTCATGGCTCTTTGATTCAGAAACAAAACAAAATGCAAGTGTCTGAAATTTCACTCAGTTTTCCTTTTTATTATGAAAAATTTTCCTTTTAAATTATTTCTGCATGGCCAAAGACAGGCAACAAATCATGAGAATATTCTTGTAGACTATACATTTTATAATCCATCGTCTTCACAGGCTGCACCAGGATACTTTCCCTCCTGCGTTGACCCTTCAGTCTTGCATTTGCTACATTCTGGAGTGCTAGAGTTCATTTCTAACTCCTTAGTTGAATGTTATCATTGTCCTTACTTTCATAAAAATATAATGTACCCTAAGAACTAAAATTTCCACTTTACAGATTTGCTCCTGATTTATTTCTGTAAGACGTTAATCACTGTATTCCAAAAAACACACCTAGGAAAGAAAGAAGTTTTCCAGATTAACTGTGGATAATCCAAACTCCCTTCTTTCCTCTGTGGCCTTGCAAATATTAGGCAAGTTCCAATTGTAATAAATGACAGGACTCCAACTCCGTAAAAATTTTAAAAATAATGACCTACACACTTGATAAACAGAACTGAATAAGACTTCGGTTCCCTGTGCACTCATAGGCTCCACCGTTGTAAGTACAAAACCCGCACCATTTCCTCCTGCACTGAACAGTGAACACCATCGGTCACAGATGGAAGGCTTCTGTTACTTCCTGTTCTCCCCAGTGTGGGCTGTGGCTTCCGCATCTGCTTAAGTGCTTTACCTGATAGAAATCTTCAGAAAACACCGGCGGATTATCATTGACATCTGACACTTGGATGGTCAGGGGTGCCTCTGTGTGGTGCACGGAATCAGAAATCTGGACGAGCAGCTCGTATTTGGTTACTTCTTCAAAATCTAAGGCCTTCACCAAGATCACTACTCCAGTGTGCTGATCAATAGCAAACGTGGCTCCGGGATTGCAGTCTTTTGCAAAACTGAAGATAAAGGCTGGATTCAAATCCACATCATGAGCTGATACCCGAGTCACAATCACACCAGGCAGAGAATCTGAAACAATCACGACCCACGTCAGCCTCCATTAAAATCCACCCTTTGAAAGACATTTCTTTAATAAATCGCTGCTATTATTTGCATTTTAAGTCCAACATATTTTCCCCAGTCTTGGCATGATTTCTTATACAAGCTCATTATAAACTAAACCAAAACCCTGAAGAATTTATGAACCAAATAAAAGTGAAAATTTACCATGGAGTAAGGAATTAAGGAAATTTAGGGTAAATTCGATTTTTATATTACTTTTTTTTTCATCAGATGCTTACAACACAATCCCAGGATCAAGAAACAGTCTGGGGCACTGTTCTGCACTTTATATTTCTGGATCAAAATCATATATAGTATTCATAGGGGAAGTGAGTAGGAAGAAGGATATTACTTGAAACATTAATACACAACATAAAAGTTTGAAAAGCAAGCTATCTTTGAATAAAAATATGTGGAGATGGGTGTTAAAATTAGCTACTCACTTCTTTGTATTTGCTTTGGTAAAATTCCTTCTCTGGGGAGTGGCACCTAAAGCAGCAGCTTCTCTTAAATCTGATTCTCAGAATCACCAGGATTAGAGAAGGACAAAGCAACCACAGTGCTGGTGGTGAGAAAATCGCTAATATTATTCAGCAAAAAAAAAAAAAAAGTCACAGACAGATGGCATGCTCAATGTCTCACACACCACACGTTTTCTCCAGCGAAAGCTGTCCATAAAAGGAGCTTTGTTTGTGAGCAGACAGGTATGGTGCAGGTGGAAAGAATGCACCAAAGAGCTCAGAATGGTTCCACTGTATATAAGACTCATAATTTTCAGTTTTCAAGCTTGAGATTCTTGACATGCACCAAGCACACCTTAGTCCACTCAGTATGTTTTGATTTATAGTTTGCTCTTATGTTATATTTAAACTAGACACATTGCTGTGTCTTAACACCAATGCATCTGCTCAAGAATAGTACTTTCTATGCAAAAAAAAGGGGCAAATATATCAAGCGAGTTAGAGGCAAAATTGGAGAATTATTTTTATTTGTGGAATATATTTTAGAAACCCTAGGCAAGTAGACTTCTGCAATATATCCTTCTGAGAGAAGTTATAAATTGCTATAAATTGTTTGGAAGGTGAATATAATAAGATATTAGGAAAAGTTTAGGAATGAGAAGTGAAAGCAGAAAGACGACAAGGGCCTGAGGCTGTGTTCAGCTGTAACCATGAAGTGTTGGGCTGGGTTTCGCCACTGTAGCAATGACCAGGAACAATTCTGGGTTCACAGATGATGGAAGCATCGTATAATCCACAGATCCAAACCATTAAGATGAATCAGTCTATCGATCAAACTTTATATTTCCACCCTTGTTAAGAGTGTGGGGCAAATGTTGAAGTTCAGGTTACTCTGGAGGAAAATGATGACTTTGTGTAGCCAACACCCAATTTGCTTCCTGTACTGTCATTAGTATTTTGCAAAGACTGACAAAGCTTGGGTCTATGAACATCGCTTCTTCTCACAGGAGGTTTGGAGTTATGATAGTCAGCAAGGAATGTTCCTTGCAGAGGAGATTTAGTTCTTAAGAAAGGCCTGCTGGGAGGAGCGCCAGGCAGGGGATGGAGATGTTTCTCCTGGGCCAGATGCAAATCCTCACTTTCACATTTAACTCCTTTGACATTTGACATTTAACTTAGGACCATCCATGAAAAAAATTACATAGCTTGTACAGCTCCTGAGGACAAGTACTCATATTTAATTCAACATCTGAATGAAAAGAGTTATAAAGGATAAATATTATATATTTTAACCAGATCTACTATTCTCAATGGCCACACTTACTTTCTGCAACTTCTACTGCTTCAGAGGGGAGAAAAGCTGGGGCGTTGTCATTTATGTCAGTCACCTGTATCCGGACGGTGGCTGTAGCAGAAAGCCTGGGTTTCCCTTTATCTGTGGCTTGCGTGATCAGGCTGGTTTGGAAAAGAATCAAGGAATGTTACACATCATCCAGGAATTAGAAAAACAGCATTAATATCAAATATTTATCTGAAGCTTTTAAAATGAGCTATTTTTATTTCTTCTCTAACTTTCTCTAAATGGTATCATCTAAAGTTTATTTCACAAGAATGGTAGCTTGAAATTTATTTATTTTTGACATGTTTAAAGAACCAAATCCAGAAAACTGGCAGAAGTCATGAGACATTACTGTCAGAACAAATTTACCACTTCAGTGAGACAGACTATAAAAATTGATCTCCATCTTATCTTATTAAAAACCTAAAAACAAATATCAATACCTGCAGTTTAGAGGCCCCATGCTGTCGTGCGTAATGTGGGTGTTGCTATGTATTTCTATCTTACTGTACCAACAAAAGATACAACCACTGAAAGACTGTTTTATACTGATACTTTCCAGATCCAAATTACAGAATTAAGTAGGGACACTGCTATGATTAATATGCATATGGAAGATGCATGATTGGCTAGGACTGTTAAGTAGAGGGAAAGGGTTGTCGTCTTAAAGAATTTACAAACAGTGAATCTCTCTTGCAGAGTGCTACCATGAGTGTCTCCATCAACCAAGCTACAAATCTTATTACCACCTTCAACCTCCCCCTTTTCTCAGTACTCTGACAACATCTAATGAATGGTAAGTCATTTATAGTCCCCCGCCCCCGAATATCACCCGGGTGTGTTCTATTCATTTCATCCTTGTCTACAGGGCTGTGCGTAGGGTGAGCAGCCATCCTGCCTTCATTCCGTCCAGGACTGAAGGTTTCCTGGTCCGTGGACTTGCAGTCCAGGCGCATTTCCAGCAGCAGATCCAGGCAAGTCCTGGACACGTGTAGACAGGCCAGCCGGTCCCTGTGGCCGAGCCCTGAGCCCCTCATCATTCTGGAATGCTGGGGCTGCCCCGCACCCTCTCCCACCTGGAGTGCTTGTGAACTTACCCACCTCTCCACTCCACATCTCACCTGCTCTATCCAGCTCCCTCACTGCAGTCGCTCTAAAATTTTAATTCAAAAGCCTGGTGCCCTTTTTAAAGCTTTTCCTGGGCTCTCCTATTCAAGGCTGTCCAGCCCTGAGCATGGACTGAGGAGCTTCCCTGTCCTGCTTCTGCCCAGCATCTCTGCCTCTGTCCTCTTCGTCTTTCAAAGCTCACATCTGTGCGAGGATCTCACTGGCCTCTCGTCTGATCTGGTTACCCCTTTATCCATTTCCATAGCATCGTTTGCACTCTTCTGCTAGAGCAATCATGACTTTGTGTTCCTAACCGTTTATCCGTCTGCTTCTTCTCTAAGTTCCTAGAGAGCAGATGGCTGTCTTGTTTCATTTTTCTGAACACCTGTCATCTGCTGGTTTGTCACGATTTGTCCACAGTTAGTTACACATGTGGTATAAGAGCTCAATCCAAAGTTAGGGCATGGCTGTGTGGAAAGCTTTGCTTCACTGCGTGACAATCCTTGCTGTGAATATATGACAACTTAATACATAGTCATTAGCTTATGATTCGTTCCCCTCTAAGGACTATGAAGGTCAAGGGGGAAGCAGCTGAATAATAAAAGGAGTTGTAAATCAGATGGCAACCTTTATTTTCAAGATTGTATTCATCTTATCCAGCTGTGGAGACTATCTTCTAAGAAACTGAGTCTTGGAAGTAGGCATATTTCTTTCTTTTCCAATGTTAGCCTCTTTGAAGTGGCACTTCTTTTCCCAATCTTAAATTTTAAAATGATGTAAAATAACCACCAAGTCTGTCTATTCATTTACTTTATTGTGCTACTGATAATTGTACCTAGGACCTTCCTACTGAGCTATATCCCCAGCCATTTTTCTACTTTTTCTTTTGAGACAGGGTCTCACTAAGTCACTAAGTTGTCCAGGCTGGGTTTGAACTTTCCAAACTCCTGCCTCGGCCTCCCAGAGTGCTGGGATTACATGCATGTGCCACCATCTGTAGCTAGCATCAACTCTTTCCAGGTTCAGTCTCTAGTGATCAGAAGATGAACAGTCTCTCCACCATTCATGGAGCCCACAGGTTGCCGCCTTCTATATTATCACAACAGCCTTTGGGGTCACAATTAAGGAACCTAGCAATCCTTTCATGTGGAAGGTTCTTTTTTTTAAGCATGGCCATCAGTCAGATGCCATGAAAATATTTTACTAACAATAATCAACTTACAGTGCTTTCTCCCCCTGCTGCCTATCCCTACCTAATGCTATCTAAAGTGTCAGCCAAGACATCAAAGTTAAGTTTTGTCACCTCTTCTCCTACAGACATCAGCACCCTAACTTTTGTGATGGTACAACTTCAGGGGATCTATGTAACGCATGTGTTGATTTAAAACAAAAATAAGTTTCTTTGATATGGAGGGAAATATGTTACTCGGTTTCAAAATAAAAGGGCACAAAAAGTGGTTGTGAATAGACTGAGGAAAAGTGAAAAATAATTCTGCAGGGATTCCACAAGGGATGTCTGCGGTCTCCTCCAGCCACCCACGATGGTCTTTGGTGGCTGACGTGAAGCTGTTGCTTGCAGCCAGTCCACCGGGCTCCCTGATTCACAGGATCAGCAGTGATTACAAGAAGTGACCAGATTTAGCACAGGTCCACACTAGGTTCACAGCACGTTTTCCATATTCTTCCAACCATGGAAAGCTTCCTTCTAAACCTGAAATGAGCTTTTGGACAGACAGGATATTTTCTGTTTTGATTGCCTTCAAAACTTAAATTTTTAGAGGAAAAATTTTCAAAAAACTCTCTCTCAGCTCTATCTTACATGTTTACTAAAAGTTTTTGTTACTTCTCAAGTTCTAAGAAAAAATTAGAATATTAGCCAACACCGGTAACACTTCTGAAAGAAGCCATGGTTTCTGATTGAAGGTGGCAGGTCACCTTCTCAAGTTTATCTCTTCTTTTCCCCAAGATTAAACCCAAATGATGATAAGGAAACAAGGTCAGGACACTATGAAAAAGGTCGAATATCATGGAAGGGCTTTTAAAAAATACATACATATAATATTTCCCCAATGTTTAATAGAGAACAAAAAACAATGATTAAGAAGATTAAAACTAAGGAAATATTTGCGAAGAAATAAAACAAAAATAAGCCAATAACCAAATAAGATTTGCAAAGTGGGAAATAAAATATAACTAACAAAGGATTCATCAAGGCAGTGTAACACCTGATTGAACAGGATCCAGAAAAAAAAAAAAAAAAAGCAAAGCAACGAAGAAAACTAAAACCACAAAAGCAGAGAGGAGAAAATGATCAATGAAATAATGCACGAAAATAGAAAGAAATGTGTCTTTACTTAAATATTCAGCACAAGAAGAGACCCACATCACACAGAATATAATCACATTTTAAAATATAATGAATTTAAAAACCTAAATCTTTCACAGAGGAGGAAAATCATACCAAGTAAAATAATTAGAATGGCACAAAACAGCAGCACTGGGTTTTACAGAACAAAAGAGCAATGCCTTTAAAATTCTAGAAGATATTTCCCACTTCTGTGCTATCCATTGTATACAGCACATGAGAGGACAATAAAGGAATTTTCATGTACATATTTCTCTGGTACTTTTCCTACAAAGGTACTGGAAGAGAAACATTTTAAAAAGACATGGGAATCAGGAACTGTGGGCCCAACCTAGCGGGGAATAAACCCAAAGTCATAGAGAGACAGGACATCAGGACACAAAAGCTGGCTGGGGAAGTAGGTGTTACCTGTTAATTACAAAATCCCAGGACACAGGCACAGAATAGTTCTCAAAGCCTTGCACCTGGACTTCTCCCGAGAGAGCAGGTTTTCCATTGGATGTCTAGACCTGATGTCAGCCGGAGGAGTGGGTGATGACAAAGCACGGTCCACACTGAGTTTTTACCACTATGTTCTCTCTTGCATGGGGGCCGCCCCTGCACTGTAGGGTGTACTTCTTTTCTTACTTTTACTTGATCCAAACTCACTCTGCAGAGCCTGTTTCTTTTCCTACCCTTAATAAAACTTTGCTACCATTTGTGTTTGTCTTGACCAATTCTTTGCTCAGGACAGAAAGAACCTAGAAATCACCCCCAAAGGAGACTCCAGCACCCCCACATGTAGGAAAATGGGATATGAATCTCATAGTGCTAAGTGATGCAAGCCATCAATGCCAGACAGGAAGATGGAAAACAGCAAGAATGGTGTTTCCCAGAAAAAAACAGAGGACATAATAGAATATTGTCTCTAAGAGGCATCTGGATGAAAAAAAATAAAAAGAGATGAGTGTGACAACAGAGCTGATGGCATATTTATAAGGAATTAAGTATATGGATGAAGCAAATGAATAAAATGAGATAGTATGATCTGGCTGTAAAGAAAACATTTGTATAGTCATACAGTGTGAACCCTGATTATTGATTCAATGATAAACAATGATAAAGAGAGAACTGGAGTGTGAGAGGGTATAAAGGTTAAACATTTACTGAAAAAGAAATGGTTATAGTTTGGGTCTTATCTGTTCCCCAAATGCCCATGAATAGAAGGCTCCATCCCCAGCCTGTGATGCTCTGGAGAAGTGTTGATCCTTTCGGAGGTGGGACCTGGTGGGAGGAAGTCAAGTCACTGGGCACGGGCCCACAAAGTGGGGATTGGGACCCCAGCCCCCTTCTGTGTCTCTCCTTGACTTCTCAGGCATCATGAGATGAAAGGCTCTGGTCCACCATGCACTCCCTGCCACCTTTTTCTGCCTCATCACAGGCCCAAAACAATGAAGTCAACTGACCATGAACTGAAACCTCTGAATCCATGAGCCAAAATAAACTTTCCTTCTTGTAACTTTTCCCAGGTATGTCTGCAGAGTGACACAGAGCTGATCAATACAGAAATGAGAGATGGTATTTACAGTTTTACATTAAGACACATCGGTGTTGCTATAATGGAGGAAGCCAGTGGTATGTGTCTGCTTCTGGAGAGCTTTAGTG